GTCTTCCCCTCCTGCACTGTCCCTCCACTCTACCCAGCATGATGTCCCTCTCCAAAGACCTGTCTCTCCTTACAACATGTCCAAAGTATGTCAGGCGAAGCCCCAGAATCCTTGCCTCCAAGGAGCAGCCTGGTTTAACCCTCTCTAGGATGAATCTACACACATATATTCATTGGGGTGTGTGTGTGTGTAACAAGTTAAAACAATTCGTAGCTGATTCTCTTCAGTGGGTTTTCAGAGGCAGTGAATTGTATATAAGATTGCCCATATTTCTCCTAGTGCATTAGAACCTCCTGTCTTCAGATTGGCAGTGAAATTCTTTGTCACTAAGCCACCAGAATGCTGGTCCTCTTTTTCGCTCCACTTCCACTTCTCATCTTCTAACTTGTATCTCTTCCCTTTCCCACTCTTTCCCTTCCCCCTTTCTCTTCCCTTATCCCTTATTCCTCCCTCCCTGTCTCCCCTACCCTCCACCTTCTCTCTCTATTTCTTTGTCATGAATCTGAACCAATGCGTTGCTGACTCTCCAGCAGGATTTTGGAGACTGTAAATCACATGGGAGTAGATTGACAGATTGACCATATTTCTCCTGGTGCATAATTTATGAATTCTAACCACTGAGGAATTATCACATTTGGATTATTATTAACTTTTTATGAACTACATCATCAGAGTGTATATGTATGTATACACACACACACACACATATATATATATAAATATAAATATATATATATATAAATATAAATATATAAACTCTGATGGGGGATAGATGATATCGATAAAGAGATAGAGATATAGAGATATGCAATACACCAAAATTACAAATATTGGTTTTGTTAGGTGTCATTGAGTTAAGTACAACTCATATCAACCCTATGAACAACAGATCTGAACCCTATCTTACCTTGGGCAAAGCTCACAATTTCTGATACACTTGAATCCATGGCTGTAGTCATCATGTTAATCCATCTAGTGAGAATATTTCTCTCTTTTGTTGACCTTCCACCTTTCCAAACATGATGTTCCAAAGAATAGCTTCTCCTAGCACCATTCCTAGAGTATGTGAGACTCCAAAGAACACTCTGGGTGCATGCTTTTCAAGAGATATCTTTTGGCAGTTCATAGGATATTTAGTACTCTTCTTGATCACCAAAACTCAAAAGCAATTCTTATTTGGTCATTCTTATTCAGATGTATAACAAGTGATTGAAAAGACCATGGCTTGAATCAGGCCCACTTTAGTCTTCAAACTGACATCATTACTCCTCAGTAAGTTGGAGAGGTCCTTGATAGAGGACTTGTCCATTGCAATATGAATCCTGATCTCCTGACTGCTGGTACCAAGGTTGTTGGTTGTGGATGCAAGTTAGGTGGAATAATTGACAAGTCAATCCTCACCCATCATGATGTTGCTTATTTGTCCAGTGGTGAGGACTTTTATCTTCTTGACATTGAGATGCAATACATACTGAAGGCTGAGGTCATTGATCTACTGCAGTAAGTGTTTCAAGTCCTCCTCACTTTCAGCAAGCAAGATTGTGTCATCTGCATAATGTAGTTTTGATGTATCTTTGTCCTTTGGTCCTGATACCACATTCTTTTTCACAGAGCTCAGTTTCTTGAATGATTTGCTCAGCATACAGACTGAAGAGGTATGGAGAAAGGATTCAACTCTGATGCACCCCACTTATTTTAAAACATGCAGGTGTTCCATTGCTCTTTTTGGAAAACAGCTTTTGGTCAACTTATTGATTTCATATGGGCACAGTTAAATGTTCTAGAATTCCGATTTTTCTCAATGATAACCATAGTTTGTTAGAATCCAAACAGTCAAATGCCTTTGCAGAGTCAATAAAACACAAATAGAGATTCTCCACAAGTATAAAAACTTTATTTCAACTGGAAGTAATGGAAATATAAAAAGAAAATAATCTGATAAAAAACAGCATTTCAGAAATTTTGTAAGTTACCAGACATGTTTACTAAAAGTACAAAACTGAAGATGGTATCTTGACAGTGATAAGCACACTCACAACTTTATAAGAGAAAACTACAACGGAAATGATTTGCCATATAGTAAAAACATTATTAGTATTCTGTTATATGTTATAAATGATATAACCTTTGTTTTCAGATAGTATGCCGTTTATGTCAGTTATGAGAAAATAATTTCCACACACACATTGCATACATGTTCATGTGCTGTATATGTTGTTATTATAGGAATTAAAAAGAAGTGTAATAACTTGTCTAAATTCTAAGTGACATAGGAACAATCCTATGAATGGGATATAAACCCCCTTCCTCAGCTCATTGTACCTTCTCTTCTATCATATTGTTTTCCTACTCTATAGGGGGAAAAATGGGCCTGAGAAGCATATCATCTGCCTATTCTTCTAGACTGATTTTTACAAAACACCTGGGAAGCAGGCCCAGAGCAATTGAGACACCCTAGAAGTTTGTAAGTATTATTTTCAAGGGACTAATAGAGTAGACACTCTCAAAGCCATCTTTAGAGGGAAACCTGTGACACCAGATGGCAAGTCATAAGGAACAGTAATCTGGGAATGCTTTCATAGAGCCCAGAGATGAAGTATGTGAGATGTAGACAAGAAAGGAGCTATTAGCATCTGCACGTGTGCATCCGGATGTGTACACCAGTGACCAAGTAGGAAATCAGAGTGCACTCTTATGGAATGCCACTGCTTAGATCGTCAAAAAGAAGAATAACAAGTACTTCCACTGACAATTTGAAGCATGACAAGGTATCATCCCAAGCTGGTCCAAATTCTCCTGGTTCTGCTAGAAAACATCCATGCAAGGCCTTTGCTATCATCACAGTAATATAAAGCAAAACCTCATTGCTGTAAAGTTCATTGTGATGTGTAGGACGCTATAGGACAGAGTAGAACTGCCACATACTATTTCCCAAGGTTTCAATCTGTTGTTCAGAGGATCACCATTAATTATATAGACTTCACGACACCTAGCAACAACACATTTTTATGAAAGTAGACTAACTGCCACATCTCTGTCCCATCAACTGCTGGCTTTCTGGTTACCTGGCATTTAACCACTGAGCCACTAGGGCTCCTCCCTAAAAAATCAATTCTTGTGTATTGTAGGTATCAACAAAGGAAAGAAAACAAAAACTAAGGAAAGAGAGAGAACCTTATGTAGCACCAAATAAGTCAGTGATCTTAACCTGCTGGAACCAGCATGATAAGCCAGGGAACATACAGCTTCTTGCTGTGGCAACTATAAAGACATAGAATTAATTGAAATTGCAAATTCAGCACGTACATCCTGCAACTACTGATTTATTGTCTAAGTCTGGCCATGTGTCCCAAATGTATGGAAACTCTGGTGTTGTGTGTAGGCATAAATGAAACACATCTCAGAAAGAACCTGGTATTAAGCTTTGGAGTTGGATTGTTTAGATTAGAGTCACCTAAGTAAATATTTACCAATTATGGTAAAAGCTCAGCTGCAGGGCAGAACAGACAGCTGAAGAGGCAAAAGGAAAGCAATCCGACTTCCCTAGCTATCCTTTGTTTATTGGCTGTAGAAGGTTAATAGACCAAGGGCGGATGCAGGGTTGGGGGGGTATTTACCACTACAGCAGCATTTCCCTTTGTAGAGGGCCCGAAGGAGCTAATTTGATAACATAAACAGGTATGCCACATTCCAATGTGGAGTTTATTTATGATCTCCTCATGTATAGACCTATTTGTGCAACACCAAGCAGTTGCACATATCAGATATTTTCTTTTACTTTGATTTTAATATTTAAGACTCAATGTCTTGAGTATTAGTAGCAATGACGAGACAATAAGATTTTTCAGAAGCAAAACAATTATCTCAGTCAAGCAATTTATATTCTAAATAGTGCAGGCAAGAGATGAAAATTAAAAAGAGGCTCCTGTTCCAACTATAGAGAAGTCAGATCTTTCTCTGATGCAAATAAGAATATGTTCTATTCTAGGATCATTCAGTAGACAAGGTTTTATGTTCAGGGAACCATACAGGATTTCTGGAAGATTTACGATGAAAACAAACATGTATGGGAAAGGCCTAGTGATTTTTTTTGTTTTGTTTTGTTTCCACTACTTATAAGGCATCCTGCAGACGAAAAGGAGTTTTCACACACTTAATGCACTGGAATCTCCAATCTCTCTGACTTTATAAATGAGGAAAGAAAACTTCAAAGGTTTCCTGATCACATGCCAAACATCAGAGTCAGAGGGGATGTCCAAGTATTTTTACATCATACTCCTTATGGATTCCTTAAGAAATCTCCCTCTCCCTTCCTACTTAATCATTTAAGGTAGGGAGGGAGAAGGAAGGAAAAGATACACTTCTATCAGACTCATTGCCTATAAGAGGGAACCAACTCATAGCTGATCCTCCAGTGTGTTTTCAGAGGTTGTAAATTGCAGTAGAAGAGATTGCCCGCCCTCCCTTCCTCTCTCTCTCTCTCTCTCTCCACACACACACACACACACACACACACACACACACTCTATTGCATATATAATTTCAAAAGTAACCATTCTCCCCACCGGGCTTCAGTGAATGCCCCCTTACAGAAATATGCTACAGTCATTTGCGCTCAGAACCACTTGTACACAACACAATCTCATGTCTTTCCTTAGTCCAGTAGCCTCGATGCCTTTAAAATGAGATCTCAGCAAGGCAGGAGCCCAGTCACTGGAGCCAGCAACTAGATAAGTAGCTGAAGCTCTGCCCCCACCAACAGTGGAGATCCAAAACTGGAACATTTCCAAACCTTCCCCAAACTGTATATTTGCCTTTCAGGTGCACAGTGTTGCAAAGAAGTTGAAATACCTTCCCTTGGTAGAGAACAGTGGATTTGCTTTCTCTCTGCAAGCACTCCTGGATCCAATCTCTTGACGGCGGCGTTTGGGGACTGCCTGTGATTGCTTGCTGGTAGGGCTGGCCCTCCATACGTTCTCAGAAGCATGCGGCTGTATTTATTTATTTAAATGATCCCTCCTGCACTCGCAACCTGTGGACGTGGGTTCTGACTGGTACTCTGGCGAGGAAGCCAGAGGCTGGTAAGCGTGTGCGTCTCTTCCCGACCCGGAGGCGCCCGCCGGGGCGCAGTCTTCAGAGGCAAGTCCAAGCTTCTCCAGTGGATATGGACATACCCGCGCCCTGGGACAAGGAACTATGACTGTACCTTCTGCCCCAGGCCCTTCTTGCCCTCATTAGCGCCCACCCTTAATTGAGGAGCCAGTGACTATTGGCTGAAGTTGCCAGCGATTTGCATGAACTGAGGGAGTGTCTTCTGCCGCCCTCCTGTCAGGAGCGCGCTGACTGCAGCCTCCCCGGGAATGCGCGGCCGAGGGAATGCAAGACACTCAGGGGCCCTGGCAGTGAGCTGGCGCCTGGCGACCTGGCACCCGCGCCTGGATATGGGGCGACTACACCGTCCCAGGAGCAGCACCAGCCACAGGAACTTGCAGGTAAGACTCCATGGCCTCAATAAGTTGCAGTGCCTGGAAGTACTTCCAGCTCCTTGGTGGTGTGTAGAACCTTCCCCTTAATCCAAACTTCCAAAGAGGGCTGGCAGGAGGGAAAAGGAGTTTGGACTAACATAGCTTCATTTTAGCAAGCCCATGGGTAGAAAGAGCAAGTGTCTGAAGCTCAAATGGAGACAGATGGAGTGGAGCGGGGAGGGGGGTGCCCTCGGATCCGTTTTGGATTCCAGGGTTCGGAGATTGTTTCCAGCCACCAGGCTATGCGCTACAACTGACAAATTGGTTTTGCATAATCATTTTACGCTTTTACTTTTCTTCTCATCACGAAGGGAGATTTGGAAGGGGATTAGAATACAGATCCTTTCAGTTTGATTTTTGATACGAGCTGAAATGAAAGGTGTTTATTTGTGTGGGGGAGATAGGTGTGGGCACTATTTTTTCCATATTATTACTGGCTGTTGTTATTTTTCTTTTAATTGGCCTCATAGTAAAAGCTGTGGCACGCTTTGCATTCTTGAGACCCTAATGATAGAACTCTTTCCAAGGGAAGTCAATAGCATGCCCACTGCCACCCCCTCCCTCCCCAGAATCTGCCCAGGCTGATTCCCTGACGCGTTGCGCAGTCTCTGAGTGGGAGTTTTCGCCACTCCAGCGTGTTTCCGGAGATGCTTTATGTTTGAGTCTCAGAATGTTAGCTGAATGAAGGTGGAGGAAGGGATGCGGAGGGTGCGGAGGAGGGTACCAGCACAAAGTGAAGAGAGAAACATTAAGTTAGGGAAGCAACGTTGCTCCTTAAAATCTCTCCTTTGCAGCAAGTTTCTTCTTCACCCCATCCTGAGTACAGAATGTGCTCCCTGGAATAGGGATGAGGGCAGTATCGACCCCTGGGACACTGGTCTCTTACTCAGATGTCTGTTTCCGCCTGTGTAATGAGCCTTTCCCCTCCCCCTACTCTAGCATCTGTTTCTGGTTTTGCTCTTCGTGGGACCCTTCAGCTGCCTCGCGAGTTACAGCCGGGCCACGGAGCTCCTGTACAGCCTGAACGAGGGACTGCCTGCGGGAGTGCTCATCGGCAGCCTGGCCGAAGACCTGCGGCTCATGCCCAGGGCCTCTGGGAGGGTGGACCAGCAGCCGCAGGCGCCGGAGCGCGCCAGCGTTGAGCGGCTTCCCCCTCTCTCCTTCAGCCTGGCCTCCCGCGGACTGAGTGGCCAGTACGTGACCCTGGACAACCGCTCTGGGGAGCTGCACACTTCTGCTCAGGAGATTGACAGGGAGGCCCTGTGTCTGGAAGGGGGTGGAGAGGCTGCCTGGGGCGGCAGCATCTCCATCTCCTCTTCCCCTTCCTCTGAGTCCTGCCTTTTGCTTCTGGATGTGCTGGTCTTGCCTCAGGAATACTTTAGGTTTGTGAAAGTGAAAATCGCCATCCGGGACATAAATGACAATGCCCCACAATTCCCCGTATCCCAAATTTTGGTATGGATTCCAGAAAATGCCCCTGTCAACACCCGACTGGCCATAGAGCATCCTGCTGTGGACCCAGATGTAGGTATCAATGGGGTCCAGACCTATCGATTACTGGACTACCATGGTATGTTCACCCTGGATGTAGAGGAGAATGAGAATGGGGAGCGCACCCCTTATCTGATCGTCATGGGGGATTTGGACAGGGAGACCCAGGACCAGTACGTCAGCATCATCATAGCCGAGGACGGCGGGTCTCCACCACTGCTGGGCAGTGCCACCCTCACCATTGGCATAAGTGATATCAATGACAACTGCCCTTATTTTGCAGACTCACAAATCAATGTCACCGTGTATGGAAATGCTACAATCGGGTCCCCCATTGCAGCTGTTCAAGCTGTGGATAGAGATTTGGGTTCCAATGCTCAGATCACCTACTCATATAGTCAGAAAGTCCCACAGGCATCCAAGGATTTATTCCATCTGGATGAAACCACTGGAGTTATTAAACTTTTCAATAAGATCGGGGGGAGTGTTCTGCAGACTCACAAGCTCACCATTCTTGCGAATGGGCCAGGCTGCATCCCGGCTGTGATCACGGCCCTTGTGTCAATTATCCAAGTCATTTTCAGACCACCTGAAATCGTCCCTCGCTATATAGCAAATGAGATAGAAGGTGTTGTTTACCTGAGAGAACTGGAACCTGTTAACACTCCAATAGCTTTCTTTACCATAAGAGATCCAGAAGGTAAATCCAAGGTAAATTGTTATCTGGATGGTGAAGGGCCGTTCAGACTGGTACCCTACAAACCTTATAGTAATGAGTATTTGCTAGAAACCACAAAACTGATGGACTATGAGCTACAGCAGGTCTATGAGATAGCTGTAGTGGCCTGGAACTCTGAGGGATTTCACGTCAAAAAAATTATTAAAGTGCAACTTTTAGATGACAATGACAATGCTCCCATTTTCCTTCAACCCCTGATCGAACTAACCATTGAAGAGAACAACGCACCCAATGCCTTTTTGACTAAGCTGTATGCCACAGATGCTGACAGTGGGGAGAGGGGCCAGGTTTCCTATTTTCTAGGACCTGATGCTCCATCGTACTTCTCCTTAGACAGTGCCACGGGGATCCTGACAGTTTCCACCCAGCTGGACCGAGAAGAGAAAGAGAAGTACAGGTATACAGTCAGAGCTGTGGACTCTGGGAAGCCACCTAGAGAATCGGTCGCCACTGTGGCTCTCACTGTGCTGGATAAAAATGACAACAGCCCTAGGTTTATCAACAAGGATTTCAGCTTTTTTGTGCCAGAAAATTTTCCTGGATATGGTGAAATTGGAGTAATTAGTGTGACGGATGCTGACGCTGGGCAAAACGGATGGGTGGCCCTCTCAGTGGTAAACCAAAGTGATATTTTTGTCATCGACACTGGAAAGGGCATGCTGAGAGCGAAAGTCTCTTTGGACAGGGAGCAGCAAAGTTCGTATACTTTGTGGGTTGAAGCTGTTGATGGCGGGGAGCCCGCCCTCTCCTCTACTGCAAAAATTACTATTCTCCTTCTAGATATCAATGACAATCCTCCTCTTGTCTTATTTCCCCAGTCTAATATGTCTTACCTTTTGGTTCTACCGTCTACACTCCCTGGTTCCCCAGTTACAGAGGTCTATGCTGTTGACAAAGACACAGGCATGAATGCTGTCATAGCTTACAGCATCATAGGACGGAGAGGTCCCAGGCCTGAGTCCTTTAGGATTGACCCCAAAACTGGCAACATCACTTTGGAAGAGGCATTGCTGCAGACAGATTATGGCCTCCATCGCTTACTGGTAAAAGTGAGTGATCATGGCTATCCAGAACCTCTCCACTCCACGGTCATGGTGAACCTGTTTGTCAATGACACTGTCAGTAATGAGAGTTATATCGAAAGCCTTTTAAGAAAGGAACCAGAAATTAATATAGAGGAGAAAGAACCACAAATATCAATAGAACCAACTCACAGAAGGGTAGAATCTGTGTCGTGTATGCCCACCTTGGTCGCTCTGTCTGTAATCAGCTTGGGTTCCATCACACTTGTAACAGGGATGGGCATTTATATCTGTTTAAAGAAGGAGAAAAAGCACCACAGGGAAGAAGAAAATCTGGAAGTACAAATTCCACTTAAAGGCAAGATTGATTTGTGTATGAGAGAGAGGAAGCCAATGGACATTTCTAACATTTGATACTGCAGTGTGAAGACCACTGCCGTGTTTTAACTGCCTTTGGTTCATCTTCACCACTGGCCCAAGAGTGGTTGAGGGGAGATCAAAGGAAGGACAAATAATTTATAACTTGTACTATATTGTAAATAACTGTTTACAAGGTTTTTAAATTCAAAGTCAGAGGTTATAAAATGTGTACAGCATTTTTTTAATGAAAATTAGTACTAACAGCTATAGTACAGTGAAAAAAGCTTGGATGGCATTTGCAGCTTCCATTCACCAAGCAGATGATTGATAAAAACTGGGAGAGAGGTAAGACTGTGGTATATAATTTTTTTTTTGTCTAAAAAGTCCTTTAACCACAAGAGGGCATCAGTTGCCCCTTTGCAGGGAATTGTTTGAGGTATTGTACATGACAGTTGTTGTACATGAAATTAATGAAAGAGTATATTTTAAATATATTGTTTTTAATGTTTAACAAATATGAAATGAAATAAATTTCATTTACCCTACTTAAGTGTATGATAAGAGGGAAAAGCAATGCAATGCACTCATAAACAGAATGTTTATTACCTCATCTGCACATCATATATAATTTGAAAGGGAAGGCATTAAAAAAAATAAGTCTTTTTAGCAAGAATAAGAAAAAAAACAAACACTGTTGTGCGTTAAAGTTTCTACCTGCTGAAGAATACTGCACTTGCTGTGCGCTCAGATTGTTTTTATTTTGCTCTACCTTTGCACTTGCTGTTATTACAGAGGGAATATATATATATATATATATATATATATATATATATATTCTTCCTTACAGAAAATGTAACCAGAAACTGTACCCAAGAAACACAGCCAGAAGCAAAGAAATGTCACAGTTCTTAGTTATCTCATGGATGTTCATGACAATTTGTTTTCATAGCTTGTTAGTAGAAGGGCTTCATACTTGGGTTGCATAGTAAAGTAGGATATGCTCAAGCTCATCTATCACATACGAAAATAAAAATCACATTAGAACATAATCATTCCAGAGATTACTGTAAACTGTTGGTCATTTGAGTTGGGCATCTTGTCTGAAAGCCATACTTATTTTCTGTTGTTGCTGTTGTTGTTTAGATTTGTTGGCTATCGTTTCTGGCTTCCTTTCTTTGACGTTGGATTGCATCCAACAGTTGATTTCTAAGCCCAAGAGCAGATTTCTCTGATGATTTTGCTTTTACAGAATCCTTTGCAATGAAGAAAGCTGGTTCGTTAGTGACTGATCACTTGCGCCTTGTATGCACTGGAAATGTAACTTTATACTACAGCTATCGCAAATTGTATAAACAAAAACTGTGTTCGCTTAAGCTGGATCATTTTACGTTTTGTCATCTTGCGTCTGTATTGTACCAAAAGTGTTTATATGTCTGCAAATTAAAGCTATATATTTTCATAGTTTCTTTCTCATTTTTACCACTTTAATATCTGAACATGGACTTGTTCCTTCAAGTACCTGTTATTGGCATTCATGTACTTTAGGGGTAAATCTCAAGTATTCTGCTGTGCTCAAGTTTTTTGTTGAACTACTTTAAGACTCAATTAAACATTGAGAAAAAGAACTGTGTGTAATTATAGGTATGTATGTTATAAGGGTTATGTCTATATTTGATAAAAGTTCATATATGGATTTATACTCATCTATGTGCATAAATGGGCACAAAAATTAATTTATTATTAATTTAATACCAATGATAAACACATATTGTGTGTGTATTTATTACAAATTATCCATTAGGTATGTTATAATAGCTTTTAAAGTTTTAAAAACAGACATACCCTTTATAATTAGACAAGACAGAATGAAAGTATTGAATGTAAACAAATAAGAACTTTAGAATGTGTATTAACATATTTTCTCATATAACAATTTGAATAAGTAACAATATATGAGGCATTATTATTAATTAAAAACATAAAGGGGTTTTTTTTCCTCTTAAAATCTCTTTTGTAGATGAACAATCTCAGACAAGAGAGGAAGATCATTTACCCTCAAAACTTTACACTTATAACTAATGTATATAGCAGGAGATAAAACCAGTCTCTGAGTAATTTTTATTTCATTTTTATCTTTTTTCTTTTTAAAAGAGCAACTACTTTGAAATCAGTACTCCCACTAACAAAAATCGAAACTGTTATAAGTAAAATATTTTGACCATCAGCAAAAACAATAAAATGTCCCTTTTATTTCTAAATCTGAAGTAGGTCCGTGTGTCTGAGGATATGAACTTCATCTCTGGCATGAGAAAGGCCTATAATATGAAAAGGAAATAATTCTGAATAACTTCTCGTAGCAGGATTTCCTTTACCAAGAATCTCATTCACATTAAAAACATGTATAATAGGGAATGCTAAAGTAAATTAAGCTCAAAGATAAAAGCCCCCTTTTTCCTAACACCTTGTGCTAGAACAGTTGCCCGAATGTATGCTAATCATGTCAGTGTTGTTAGTTGAGCTAAATAAATGTTCCATTCATTAAAACCTCTACTATCCATTTAACAGTTTGAGAACCAGCGAGTCCTCTTTGCCCAATTTAATGAAGAAGAGATTGCTGTGATCCTTGCACTGCCAAGTCTGCTTATTCTACAGAGAAAATTATTCATTAATTTGACCTGGGAAATTTAAAACTCGCATAGCAGTTCTAGCTACAGGGGTAAAAAATAAGCCTGTCTATATTATTTGAGTCTTAAGAATACATTTCCTGACTCTATTTTTAAAAGAAAAGATACATGTTATTTTAAAAATTGTAAGGTAAGATCCTTTTAAGACCAAGAAAAGCATCAAGGCCTTGTACCTTGATGTTCTGCAGATACACTAGGCATAACTTTTCTGTGAAATCGCATCACAAGAAACTGTGTGAACTGTTTAGTGTATGAAGTTGACTTGGTTGTGAGCTCAGTCATGAAGTGTCTGATGCATGCTTCCAGCAGCCTTCAGAATTGACAATTCTAAAAGGAGGAATTAAGCAAGCCTCTCCTCTGAAGGTTCATGTTCTAGTCTTTCTCTAACGAAGTGAGAACTACGTGGTCCTAGCTTTTGCTGGCAAAGAAGAATATACAGAATGGACAGCACTGATATTCAGTGCTCTTCAGTTCTGTTCAGCTGCCTCAGCTCACAGAGGACAGGATTCCTCATCCGGCCATTTTCTTTGCAGACTAGGGCAGATTTGCTCACTGCACGGAAGCAATCAAGTGCTGTGAAAGCCATATTGCTGGCATGCGCAATTTCTGCCTGGTACTGTGCTTTCATGTGGCAGGTAGTTACTACTGAAAGCAAGGAAATCAGCAGTCATAGAATGGGGGGGGGGGTACAATCAATTAAATAACTAGTAGTACTACCTAACCACCACTAACCCTACTATCCCTAAAAACCCTGAAATTCACTAGATTGTTTCTCTTCAGAGGGGGGAAAAAACCTAAATATCTTTTTCTTCCAAATCATAATTCTTGTGAAATTATTTTTAAAATGTCTGTCCTTGAATGTAGTACGATCAGTGGTAATACCTTGTGCAAAGTCGTTAAAACATCTAATTACAGACTAAAAGGTTAGTGGTTTGAACCCACTAGCAGTTCCAAAGGAGAAAAAGATGACAGTCTTCTTCTCTAAAGATAACATGTAGTGTAATGTCACTTTGAGTTCTAATCAACTTGAAAATGAGTTTGGATCCTTGTAGATATGTATTTTTCCCCTCCCTCAAAACATATTTTTTTCTTCTTCTTCTGCAAGTGTCTTCATTTGAGAGCATAAAATACTGGGAGGACCTTAAGACATAATTCTGCTAATATAAAAAAATGTGTAAATAAATATATATGTGTTTTATGAGTGATAATTAGGAGGGATTTAACTGAGAACAAGACAATCCCTTGATGGACTTCTATTATGATGTGGAAGGGCAAAATTAAATCTTCCATTTCAGAACAGTGTGGGGAATAATTACAAATGCCTGTGCCAAATGCTATGTGAACAAGACTGAACTCACTCTTGGAAAGGCAGAGGTATCCCAAAATTGAGCCTCCTCTTTATGTATGTATGTATGTATGTATGCATATATATATTTATTTATTTTTAAATGGGCGGTATTTAAATTGAGTCTGGAATAAAAGGAAAGTTAGAAAGGAAAAAATGGGGAACAAGGATGAGGATAGCATCTGAGGCTTAAACCAAACCAAGCAATCCTATTGTCATAGTCAGACTGCTCTTGTATTGAAACCAACTTTTTGGTTACTAGCTCAGTGCTTTAAACAATGGCCCAGGAGGACAATATTTGTCATATTTAAAGAATCGTAAATACTATAGTTCTTCTTGACTGTTTGGAAGAGTGAAAGAGAATATTAAGAATGGGCTTGGTGAAATATGGCAATATTATGGTAACGTACTAGAGGAACTCATACCAAACTTGGAAGCTAGGATTTTATTTCAAAGGAAAAGGGAATTTCAGAATTTTTGACCAAAATATTTTAGAAAGATTGCTTTGACTACAGTGTATAGCTTCCATTAAAGATGATTCTAGAAATTGGTTAGAAGATCATAGTGACAATGTAAGTAAAAGATAAGACCTAACCAGGAGCTATGAAAAAACACAGCATAACACAGAATATAAAGAATTTGCAATTAAAAAGGAAATTTGTGAAACCATAGAATTAATCCACATATGATAGCTTACATTTTCCTTGATTTGCTACTGATCTGATTTTATATATTTGCAAAGGATTGTGAACTCATTTACTAAACATTAAATCAGCAGTGAAAGCACTGAAGCCATACCCCTGTCTCTACTGCTGGGTTTTATGACACAGATGGAATTATAAAGACACTAGTTAACCCAGTTGATTTCATATTTATGATTGTCAATTCTATTCAATTTAACCAGCATTACTGTGTGCCCATGAGGTAGATATACCAATATGAGGCTGACCTCATCAGAAATATTTTATCCAAAGCAATTGAGGCACTTTGCTTTTACTTGCACTAGAAATACTGAGGTGCAGAAGGGTCATGTTGAGAAATTTTGTAAAGGTGATTAAAAGGGAAGTGGCCAGTAGAGTAGAAAATAATTTCAAATGTTGTCTGAATAGCAAGAAAATTCATGACTCTTCCAATTAATTCAAAACAGGAAATAAAAATACAAAGCCGATGAGGTGGATAATAGAAGTCTAGAGATCATGAGCAGGTGAAATGGACAGCTAGAACTGGAGGTACATAAT